TGCGGCACCGATGAGCATATAAATACGTGATTATATTAATTTTATTATTTTTTGAGTAGTAACTGCGTTTATGCAAATTTTATCAGGAATAAATTATTGTTGTACGATGTTCAAATAATAAAGGAGGAAATTGAGACAAAGTTCGGAAGCACAGTAACTATAATGTAGCTACCAATATGTGAGAGGAACAATAACATTTAACGTGATCAAAATTCGCTTTTAGTGACGATCCGAGCGAAAGGAAATTGAAGAAAATTAAGGAAATCGATTTAACACAAAGGATGACTTTTCCAGACCTTCGAAAAACGCACAGTCACGGAGTCATCTGCGTTCGAGTAATGGTTGAGAATCACTAGTGCTCGGATGTGGGAGCGAGAGGCGATTTTCAGGTGCACGATGAAGTGAGACAGGGCAACAGAACTCGGAACGAACGAAACGAAGGTATAGCACGGCTCGCAAGAGAGACAGAAGAGCACGGACGCGGATAGAAGAGGGTAACAGGCACAGCGGGGGCAAGGGGGAGGGACGGGAAAAGGTTAAGAGAGAGGTAAAGGAGGAATGATGGGAAGAGGGTAAAAGGAAACGAAGGGAGAAACCCCCCGTTGCGCCCACACTGGACTTGAGTTTTTTGTAAGGGTGTGCGGGTACGAGGGACGGATGTGGGGGAAGATAGGGGGAACGAGGCGGCCGGGTCGGTAGAGTACCAACGGGCGAGGGCGACTGCCGACGGTAAGGAATGACGAGGGCCAGGGGAGGAGAAGAGAAAAACCGGCAGGCAAGCAGGGGCTGCTCTAGGGAACGAGAAACATAGACGCGGAGGAGGGAACGGACTGTAACAGTAAGAGAGAAGGAGAGAGAGAAAGAGAGAAAGAGACGAAGAGAGACGGTGGGTTAGGGTGAAGGTAGCGAAGGCGATGCGGGAGGCCGAGAAAAGGGCGGGGGTAGTCAGGGGGAGAGGTAGAAAGGGTCTTGCCACGAGGGAGTGAGAGGGTGGCTCGGCTAGAGAGATCTATAGGGGTGCCACGGCAAAGGGTAGGGGGATTACCGCCTGAGGCTTCAGAAACCAAGGGTGTCTAATGCCAAAGTGGACTTTGTTCACTCGCTGAGATGACGTTCTCTATACGTGTATGTGCGTTTATGCGTATTCGCGTAGGTGGAGAGAAACACATTCTTTCTCATTCGTTCGACTCGGCTAATAGTCACGCCGCGCCGCGCACTTTGCGCTAAATGCGGTTGCATAGACGCATATAAGACAAGATTTTTAATTTATAAGTCAAAAAGTTAAAGGTATTGAAACATTAACGGTATTAATGATGAGCTGCTAATCAAACCGATAATATGGTATCGTGACATGAAAAGGAAGAAGACAAATTCAACTTATTTTGTTGCGAAAAGTTTTCGTAATGAATTAAGTTAGTAAACGCTTCTCGGTTCACGGAATTCACGCGATATCCTTCGGTAGATTGATGACGTTGACGAGAGAGATACGTTTACAAGAGCGATAATGAGGATGATAATGATAACGAGACGATTACGAATATCTCTCGCAGGTAGGACACGGATCATCTCGCGTCGGATTGAATCGGAAAGATCGAACTTTCGCCGGAAAGTTTTAAGCTTTTTTACGCTTCTTGTGTCCCGAAGTTTCCTCTCCCCGTCGAAGCAAACTGTTGCTTAGATCGTTATCGCGTACTACCGTGCGATAAGGGGGAGGGGGGGAGGAGAGGGACAAACGTTCGTCCCATTGACGTGAAGGAATTAGAAATAATCCCTTTAGGGTCTATACCGGGAAGAGAGAGAAGCGAGCTCGTGCTTTTTCTTCCTACGCTTTCGACTTTTCAATTGACATGCCGGTAACTTCCTTTGTCGGCGACATAGAGCGAGAGCGTGGGCGTGTCTGCGCATGCATTCATATATTCATCCATTCATTTATTTACCGTGCGCATTCCATACGACATTGTTGAAAACGTTATTAATCCCAACGAGTTCGCGCTTTATCGCGACTGGAGTTTTCTTCGTTTTCCAGAGGCTAGAAAGGGGAAAGGGAGAGAGGAAAGAGAGAGAGAGAGAAACGATTCGTGCAGAAGATGTCGTAAATAAAGTACGGACCAGCCAATAAAAAGATCGCCTTTTTGAAGGAAGTCGAGCGGACAGGTGGAGCCCCGAGGACGTCTGTGCACGGGGTATAACCGTCATAAAGTCGAGAGAAAAAGTATTTTACGACGCTGGCCCGATAACTTGGCCACTTCCCCTAAGACTATCCTACAGAGCCTTTTACGAGGTCACTCCTGCATCGCGCTCGCCGTTCGTCGGTTTGTCCTCGTATGCCCACCGCATAGATAATTCCAACGATGCGGCTTTAAAATTACAAGGTTTCGCAATTGTTATATTTTCCGAAACTTCAGATCTTTCGCGGTATTTTTTTTTTGCAAATTAATATTAAAGCGTTATATGCATAGTTTAACTTTGAAAATTTACAAAATATTAGATCGTTATTACAGTCAATGTTTCAAATAACTTACAATTTCCTTACGATTCGTATATGAATAAAGCTGATATGACTACCACGTGACTATTCTATTTTTCTCGGACAAACAATATTTTAGGAGGATATTGCGAGGATATTCGATCATTTGGAATATCAAGGTTGACGTAGTGATTTTACGTACGCGTCCCTCAGGACGCTGATTTTCCATAGCTTTGCTCGTACTTGACCCGATAAGACCGCTGCATACGATTCACTGACTGCGGTCATGTCTCAGATTTACAGCAAAGGGAAATCGCGATCTCGTTGGAGAATTATCAGTTCTGCAAGTTTGCGCGAATCCTTTCACGTACCATCGTAAATGTGTGGGTCGTCTCGTCGTTCGTTTACGAATGACGCATCAAAAACGTACGTATACGGTAACAGAAACGAAACTCGATGATCAAGAAAGTCAATCGGACATGCGGATATTCCGTTACGTTCGACAACGTTTCGTGAACCAGATTTTAATAATGCGTTCACCGTGTGGATCGGATCGGATCGAATCGCCAGATTGAAATGGTAATTATGCAAAGACGATGGCGTGTCCGACAATCGCTGTTCGCCTCGATATTATAATTATTGGACTTCACGCGTTCGACCTAGCTGTAAATGGAGTATTAATCCGGGTTGGCAGCGCGACGATCGGTTAATAACACGGGAGGCTTAAGCGGGGAGATAAAAATACAAGTAAAAGCGAGGAAAAATATATGTCTGAAGATCGACGCGATATCCCACCACTCAAATATCCGCCTCGACTGCACGTACCGCGGAAATATTAACCAATAAAGACCGCACTTATAACCTACGTGTAAATTGATGCGGGCCACAATGTCTTGTAACTCAAGCGGCCGAACGACAAGAAGTAATCGACGATTTCGATCGCTCAGGATTACTCGGATTACGTGCAAGAGGATACATCGTTCGACATCGTAGACTACTGTTATTTACGCGTAGACCGTCGACGCTAGTATTAACCCAGGTGGCAAGACGACGACGACGATGACGACGAGCTAATAATACGGAAGGCTTAAGCGGAGAAAGGCTCCCCCTAAAAATGCATGTGCATCGAGCAAAAGCAAACCCGTCCAGCGTGCCTCTTTCGTCCAGGTCGTACGCAAGCAGGCACAGGCAGGTAAGCAGGTAGGCGGGAGGAACCATTCTCGTCGGAGGTGCCGTATAACTTACGTCTCTCAAGTACCGCGGCAAAGCCGCGGCAACGTTACGTATCGCCGGTAGTGGCATACTGGTGTGACAGCATGGTGCAAAGAACGGAGTCCAGCACGAGGAGAAGACGACGAACGGCAGAGACAGAAAGAGAAAGAAAGAGAAAGAAAGAGAGAGAGAGAGAGAGAGAGAGAGAGAGAGAGAGAGAGAGAGAGA